CCTCCTACGATTGTTAGCTACAATCCCGACGCCTTATTATTCACTATTCGACGTCCGATGAAGCGTCGTGGCGAGGAAAATTATTTGTCAAACATCGTCAATTATGGGGGCTCATGGTAATACATTACAAAAACCTTAGAGATCCGACTACCATTAGCGACGCCTTAGAATGGTAGTTAAAATACGTTAGGGTTGATAGTTATCCTACAAAGATAGTTATTTAGGATTAATAAGATATCCTAAAAAGATAATAAGATAGGATCTTTAGACATCCTAAAAAGATAGTAAGTGTTGGGCTATATTTAGTGGTTCTCGGTTTGGACCGAAATCTCCTAGTAATTTCGGTGGGCTTAGTGTGTTCTCGGTGGGTCTTTATGTATGGGCTTTAGGTTATCGCTTTAGTATATATATGGTCTGTGTATAGCTGTTCAAGGCTAATGCGTTTTTGGTGAATTCTAGTCATTCACGGCTGAAGAGTGATTGAATGTACTTGACAATTATTCAATAGAATTGTGTGCATTTATATTATTGAAACGTGTTAATGATATATTGAATTGATTGTTTCACATCATTATTTGATGAAGATTTCACATTAATTCAAACAATTGCATTGATACTTTGATAGATCCGAGTTCAGGGCCTAACAAGTGGTATCAGGGCCTTAAAAACCGACTTAAGGCTGTTATGGTATCAATTGCTTTCGAAAAATTAATTCGTTTGTGGTGCTTTTGGGTTGTGTTGGAAAAAACGATTTTGCTGTTCATCTTGTTGATGTTGTTCGTATTCATCATTTTCTTAGTGTTATTCACTAATTTTGGAGGATATTGCGTTAGAGATCGTTTTTGGTAATTTACCAAATTTGGAATTCATTGGATATGGAAACATGATCAACACCTTGATTTTGTTTAGGTTTTGGTGTTCTCGGCGGCTGAATAGAGTTCTCGGCCAAGATATATAGTTCTTAGTCAACTGTTTTCGGCCAACCCAGTTGACTTTCAGGGATTTCGATCAAACTGGTTGACTTTCAAGGTTTTCGGTCAAACGGCATTTCAAATTACACAATCAGATTCTTTTTGTTGGTAAATAATGAGTTCTTACAACAGTACCAATGAGGTTAGTGAAGCCTCATACTCTCAGTCCTGTGAAGGTTAAATAAATAAATACCGTGAACAAAATGAATTATTAGTAAGAGAGGTTTTTGACCATAAAAATGAAATATATGAAATTAAGAAAGTAATTAAACCGCTTCAAGTAAAACTAGAAGCACAAACTAAATATTTAAGCAGGATTAAAGAAGAATATAGCGCCAAATGTGTTCACTATCATTTTTCCAAGGAGAAAATTGCAAACTTAACTGCTGAACGTGATTCATTATAGGCTAAATTTAAGGATGTTGATTTTAATTTAAAGAAATTTGATGTGTCAAGTGAGATCGTTGAGTCAATGATAGAAAAACAATTAAACTGGAAAGATAAACAGGGTGAGGTTCTAGGGTATCATAGTGTTCCACCTCCTTTCAATGATAACTATACTCCGCCTCTGAAACCAAAGAGATAGAGACACCTGCACTATATGGCCAGCCCCCTGTAACTGCCTCAATCAAGACTGAACAGTCCGACCCAACTGAGAGTATTAATGTGAACGGTACTAATGTTACTACTTCATGTGCATATAAAGTAACAGTGCAAGATAGGTTCGAGCAGAACAAAAATAATTCTAGTTTTGCTGAAAATGCTTCAAAAACTTGTGATGATAATAATCCCACTGTTGAAAAATCCAAGCCACGAAAATTTGCTAAATAGTCTAATAAATGTGCATGTGCTTGTGCTTGTGGAATTTCTTTGAAACAAACTTCATTTGGACAAGGACCAAGTCACAATCTTATTTATTTAAAAAAACAAACTTGTTTTAACTGTGGGACTTCCGGTCACATTGCTATAAATTTCCCACATCGTTCATATTTTCCCTACTATGAACAAGGTTGGCAGAACATGCCAATGGGGAGATCTTCCAAAAGAAATTCTTCGAGGTCACGTTCAAGCAATGATGATTGGAATGCTAAAAAGACCAAAAATCAGACTTTCCAAGACAAGAAAATTGATTTGAGAATTAGTTCAGTCAAACCAAGATCGGTAAGGTTGAAGTTATCTCGGGGAACGGTCTCAAGCTCCAAAACAAGTACTGAAGCATCCATCCGATTAAACCAGAAATAGGTTAAACCTGACTACTGATGGGTACCAAAAAATTCCCACTCCCAAATCACCTAAAAATTCTAAAATTTCTTCATTTTCTGTGTTTGATAAACAAGAAATGACTTGGGAACGCGTATCATGCGTAGATGGAAAAGGTCAACCTAGTTTCAAAATGGACTGGGTTCCCAAAACCAATTAATCTCGCACACCATGCAGGAGCAGCTATGGAGGAATATCATCAGACTTCGGTATGTTGATAGTGGTTCTTCCAGGCACATGATAGGAGACATCTGTCATCTACATAACATTCAGAATTTTATTGGAGAGCACGTGTCCTTTACAAATAAGTAAAAGGAAATATCACAAATAGAGATTACATCAATTGCTGAATTCCGGTTTAAATTTTCTGACTCTTCTCTTCTCTGTGATAATAATGCTGATTTTCGATCGTCCAAAAACCTATTTTTTAAAACCAAGCTCGTGCTTGTGGGATTTCTTGAGATGATACGTTTCGAAGACTGAAATTTCTTTTCATTCTTATTTAGTATTTCTTATTTTCTTCCATTCTGATATATTTTTAGAAAAAGAATTTTTTTTACAATCTTTTGGGAAGTGATATGAGTTAGTGATAAAGAGCAAACGAAGTATGTGTAATGCACTAAAGCTGAATTGTTTAAATTCTGTGTTCAATGTGTTGGTCGGCATAAAGGACTAAGAATAATGGACTAGACAATGTGGACTCTTATGGACTTAGAAAACCTCATTTGGACTGACAATACGGTGCTTGGATAGATTTAACAGTAAAATAGACAAGGAGGCCTATGACATAAATTGAAGCTAACTATCATCTAGATCTGTGGCTCAACAGTTCATTGGCGTATTGACTTGTGTCCTTAATTCTTGTATTGACAGGGGGTGACTAAGGGGTTCTGATAAATTGGCTCTATTTAAAATCGTCATTCTTTCTTTCTTAGTCAGCCACATGTTGTCCCCTCTGTGTGATCAGAAGATCCGACCTGGGACACAACATATGTACTCAGATGATGATCACTGTTTTTAAGAGAGTATATTGTCTCCTACAAATATCCTACTCTCTATGTTAGTCATATGTTGTCCCCTTTACGTGATCGGTAGATCCGACCTGGGACACAACTTATATATTCCACAATGATTATCTACTCACCTAAAGTAAAGGATTCCGAAGAAATTTCCTTGATTACTGGTGTATGCCATGAAGCGGGGAACATGTTCCAGTGTACTAACTTTAGCTACACCCATAGCTAAAGGCTGACTGGTAGATTTTACTGGCTAAATTTAAGTGGACAACAATATCCTTGGTCTTCGTCAGACAAAATGATCTGTCTTGAAAAATGTCATTTGTGTTTAAGTGGATCACAATATCAATGATTGACCAGAGTTTTTCATGAACGTGTGTGCTGATAAACCTCATTAATTTGCTTCATAATGTTTGATCCCAAAAGTTTTTGTTTTATTAGCATCTGTTTATTACACTTTTGTTTTTATTTAAATTTGTACATATTTTCATTGTTATGCACAAATTTAGGGGGAGAAATTATAAAAAAAAATTTTAAAAAAAATTATAATAAAAAAACTTAATTAAAATAAAATAATAATAATAAAAAAATGTGTTTGATTTTATTTCTATTTTTATTTTTGTTTTTGGTTTTTGGAACGTAAAATCAAAGGAAATCCTTTTATTAAAATCAGGTACTTTTCTTTGGGCCAAAATCGTTTAGGTGGGCCATATGGGCCATCTTTCGGGTAATATATATATATATATATATATATATATATATATATATTATACATAATATATATATATACATATACATATATATATATATATATATATCTAATATATATATCTATATATATATATATAATATTCTATATATATATATATATATATATATAATTTGTGTTTTCGGCTGGTTAGCGTTTCTTACCGAAAAACCCCAAACAGCCATAGTCGATTTCTCTGCCAAATCTCTTCGAGCTTTTCTACAAATAACCTACTCATTCGTTGTTTTGTTGAAAATTATTCGGTGAATCAGGTATTGTTTGGGTTTTCGATCATGGCAATGGCATTTAAGCTGTTTTTGGTGTACTCGGTTTCATAGATTTGCAGGTTTTCGAGTGGATTTTTCAAGGTTTTTGAAGAACTAGGTTGGTACAGGTTCCGATGAAACTTTGGTTTTTCCGTTCAACCCGGATTCGACCGAAATCAGATGAAGATTTGACCAAACTCTGGGTTCTCGGCCGAAATCAACCAACGTTGACCAAAATCGTCTGGTCAACAAGTGATTTTGACCGAAATCGATCATTTTGAAAGAAATCGACTGAAATCTTGACTTTAATCGAAACCAGATTTTAGACTCGATTTAATTAATTTTAAATTAATTCTCACTTGGCTAGTTTGGTGCAGATAAATGGCAGAGCAACTTAAATTGATAGACTCTCACAACATTGTTGGATATGTCATGGATCCACCTGTTGCTCATCAAGAATTCAAATCCATGATGGTGGGTTTGAACAACTGCAAGATATCTCAAGCTCTTCGTGCCAATGCAGTCATTCACAAAGACTTGATCACTTATTTATGGAGAAATGCCTCGATCAAAAATCTAGGAGCAGATGGAGCTGGTACTGTGGAATCTACGGTGAAAGGAACTCAGGTGATTATCTCTGAACAAGTTATCCGAGAGGTACTTGAATTTGGTGATGGATCTATATTTCCGATTGAGTACTCTGCTGATCGGGTCAAGGAAGTTTTAGAGAAAATGTGTTATGAAGGAACCTATCCTCCCACCATCAAGAAGCTACTGCCACCCTACTGGAGGTTCCTGGCACAGTCCTTTGTGATTTGTATTTCTGGAAGAAAGGGAGACTCTGATGAAATTAGTCATACTGTGACCTCAGCCATTGTTTCTCTGGCTATGGACTGGGATTACAACTTCTCAAAGTTCGTCTTCGAAGAAATGAAGAGAAACCTCCTAGGAAAGAAAAAGGACATATTGTTGATGTACCCTAGGTTCCTTGAAGTGATCTTTAATGAAAAATATCCCCAAATCGAAAGGACGTCTGATACATTGGATATGAAAGCTTTGGGTCCCAACACTTTTGGACTCATGAAGCAATCAAGAAAGGCTGCGAAAGTTTCTTATCAAGGTTTAAAGGAAATTAGTTAAATTTGGGAAGTTTTTTGAGATTGAAGACACTCCTACTGTTAGTTCCATAAATGTTGAGGTTGCCGACGAACACGTGGCTCCCAAAATAAAGTTTCAATTCGCCTTTGAAGAGATTGAATTGTCTGATGATGAAGATGATCAAGAGGATCAAGAAAAGGAATTGATAGAATATGAGTTTGAAGATTTTATTCAGCAAAGTATTTCAAACCCAGAAGAGGATGTAGCTGTCACACCTCCGTTTGTAACTGAAAGGGAAAGTGATACAATGGTGCAATCTTCCATACCGACCCCTGAACAGATGGATGCTCTTATAGCAGAACTTCAGCGAACTGCATGGAAGCCTCTCCAAACAGTTCCTATTGATACTGAACCTCCATATGAAATTGATCCAGAAGACTCAGCCAACGCTTTACTCCCAATGAAGCGAAAAAGAAGAGATCCAAGGCCGGGAGTGCTTATCACAGACCTAGTTCACAAGAAATCTACACCGATTGAGCCTGGTTCTATGGCTCAAAACATTCAAGAGACATTCACTGAGTCCTCCCCAGTGATTCAAGACATACCAAGCACAATCCCTGAGCCCATTCCTATGGATCATGATTTTTAAAGCCCGATTGTTGAACAAGAAGTCATACCTTCAGAAGGAGCTCAAGCTTCACGAAGCTCTTTTGAAACACCCAAGCTGGACATCTCCACAGGCAAAAGCAAGTTGCATGAATCTGAATTAGTCGATGTCGTTCTGCTTCAGAACAAAGTCTTTGATCTGGAACAAAGCTCTGCTGAAAAAGATTTGATTATTGGAAAGCAAGACATTCGAATCAGCGAGCTTGAGAAAGAGAACTCCAATAAAAGATTCAAAGATGTCAGAACTTCTTGCAAATCTTGGTGGTCTAACTTCTCTATTCTTTGACCTGAAACAACGCCTATTTTAAAAGGTTGCTGATGAATTTCAACCTTTCAGTGCTGAACAAGAAAAGATCACTGCTTCTAGTTCAGGTCCCCGCCAATCCAGCTTCTCAATCTTCAAGTGAAAGAGCTACAAGACCTATTCCAGATGCTAATTTTGACACATTCTTATCTTCTGGTCCTACTTCTACTCAATAAAGAAAAGAGAATTAAATTAGGGTTGAGCAGCTGAATGGGAAAATGCTCGTGATGAAGCATTCAGATAAAAATGCTCCAGGTGATCACCCTAAAATGGTTTTCAGGGAAACTGGGAAGAAGTTCTCAGACAAATATGGGGATCGTTCTGGCATAATCATGTGGGGATATGATGCTGATAAAAGTATGTGGGTCGTGAAGAGGAAAAGTGGAAGAAATGAATATTATGAGAAGAAAGTTGACTTATTGTCCTGGACAAAA